GGAGGAAGGTAGAATCTCCACTGCATAGTATGCAATCTGTCTGGGCAGGGCTAATAAAAGGAGATGGAGATTGGTCTCTTGTGGTACAATGTTGAATAATTGTTATCAGGACTGACTGCAAGGGTTGGAAATGTAAAGACAGATGTTTTATAGCAAAAGGAGGGGAGTGATTGACTTTGCAGTCCAGAAGCGGAGGTCCCTGGAGCCATCAAGGGAGAAGAGCAGAGAAGCAGTGACGAAGACGTGGAGAGATGGAACGGCCAGGTACTCTAGACCCAGAGAGGGAGAGGGCTGTGTGCTGAGGGTTGGGGGGTGGATGGGTGGGTGGGACATGCAGGGTGTACCCTTTGGTTGGTTAATGATTCATGGCGGGGATTGTAACCATGGCAATGAAACGATACACGATAGGATGAACGTAAAGCTAATGTTCCCCCATGTAAACTATCGCATAATTCACAATAAAACATTTTACAATGAAAATAAAACATTTTACAAAAAAAAAAAAGTATTGATACCTTTATTGGTTTATTCCAACTAAAACATGTTTAAACATGTCTCTGTACACAATTTATCTCAGTAATTCATTTATCTTAGGCTCATTAGGGTACCTTCAAAACATTTATTTAAAAAAATATTACAGAGTGGTCTCGGAGCCAGTAGTCAGGTCCGCTACCACTACTGCCACTGCTCACCAAGGCACCTACCCCCGTAGGGACTAACTCTCATGCTTTGCATGGGGCTCAGCGCACTCATGCTCTCTTTGGGGGCTTTGGATGCCAGAAAGCAAGTCCCCTCGGTGATGACCAAGGTGTTTGATGTGAGGATTAGATTTAAAGATGTTAGTAGAATAATTATTGGCCTGTTTGGAAAAGTTTTGCTCAAGACTGTGGATAATTTTATTGCTCTGACAACAGGAGAAAAAGGATATGGATCTCCTTTATTTAAATTTCATCGTGTCATCACAGATTTTATGATTCAAGGGGGACTTTTTACCGCTGGAGATGGCACTGGCGGTATTAGCATTTATGCAGAGACATTTTCAGATGAGAATTTGAAGCTGAAGCATTATGGGATTGGGTTGGTCAGTATGGCCAATGCTGGGCCCGACACCAGTGGGTCTCAGTTCTTTATCACCTTGACTAAAATCTCCTGGCTGGATGGTAAACATGTG